AAGTGTGAAGTGTTAAGTGTGGAGTGTGAGGTGTGGAGTGTGAAGTTTCAGTTTGGAGTGCGAAGAGCGCAGTGTGAAGTGTGAAGTGTGAAGTGTGAAGTGTGGAGTGTGAAGTTTGAAGTTTGGAGTGCGAAGAGTGCAGTGTGAAGTGTGGAGTGTGAAGTTTGAAGTTTGGAGTGCGAAGAGTGCAGTGTGAAGTGTGGTGTGTGAAGACTTTGCTTCGTCTCTCGCTGAAAAAATCAAACGGTTGTCGAGGGAAGGACACGGTCGGGACAGGGTGTCTTTGAACTATAGGTCATTTATGTTTGGGAAACTTCCGCCGCCGGCTTGCCCGGGTCTATGTTACTGTGCTTGCCAATGCCCGGCATGGTCTTGAAGGAGCACGCCATGGATTTCACTGCGGCTTTGACAAGGAGTTCCAATGCGATTGAGGCCAGCTACATCAAGCAGCATGGCCTTCTCTTGTTGCTTGAGATTGTGTCGTTCTTGGCAGAGATCCATGCGGACAATAGCTTCTACTCCAAGCTGGTTGCCAAATCTATTGCGGCCATGACACAAGCCCAAGCCGTTTTCGCAACTGGTTTTTCCGTTGCCGATGCAGACTACACGATCTTCCGTGGTTTCAATCCTTGGCTCCCCATTCGAGCAATCTGTGTGAAACGGAAGGCCTTCCCTGACCATGTTGAGAAGCGCAAGGTTGAAGAGATTCAGTCAGCTCTGCTTTTTTTTTTGCAAATACGTAGAGGCAGATAATAGCTGCGCTGGCGTGCAACTGATTTTGGGTAGCCTGCTGGGCATGATGCGGGATCTGACGCCTCATCTGCAAGGCTTCCTGGACAATGAACCGTGTTAATTTGCCTCACAAGAAGGTGTCATGAAATTTGGTTCAGGCTGCTATGTTCTGATTTGACACGCACGCTGCCATACCCAAAAAAATGATCTCGGCTGGCGAAATATGATGACGAACAGAAACATGGTGAAGCAGCTGCATTTTAAACTTCACAGCTACCTCTTGTGCAATCTTTCTGTTTCGGTGTCATGGGTGCATGCTTATAAGGCACTGCGGCAAGTAATGGGCAGCTGCATGCGAAAGCAAAGTGTCATGTGCCAGAAACAGCACATAATTGTTTCTTGTGCCAATTGTGCCTCCGGATTCCAGGGCGCGCGGCTTGTCATGAAAATTACCACCAATTCGTTGTTATGTTTTTTGGTCTATCGCTTTTACCATGTTCCCAGCTATTGGTTTACCAGGTCTATTCCTGAATGATGCATTTTTTTATCAGGACGAGTTGGATGGAAGCTGAATCTCAATCCTCTTGGCTGCAGCCTGTCGGATGCCATGTTGCAAAGGGATTGGTGTGTGGGAGACGTTCATCGCAGTCGAACAATCACTGACTCCTGACGTGGCTCCCTGGGCCATCTTGATGCAGTGTCAGATTGTGTGGCTCTCAGGGCCGTTTCACCTGGACCTGGTGGCCCTCTGGGCCATCTTATTGTTTTTGCAACCGTCGCGCAAGCGAGCCAACTCCGCAACGGAGAACGTCCGTTTACCCGAAAAACAAAAAATTACGTTCTTTCCTTGTAAAATTCCTTTTGAAAGCGCTTCAAATTAAATCGTTGTTTTTTCTCGCTTTGGCGCCGAGATCCATCCGGTTTTGGAGCTGCAATTTGTGTTGCCTCCGCGCGTAATTCTATTGTGCTTTGCAACTCAGTGTCTGCAGATCGCAGTGGGGTGGCTGCGTAAAGGCTTCTTGCCGCCACGGCTGCGCGCGTAGTACTATTGTCTTTTGCAGCTGAGAATCGTAAATCGTTTTCTAGTGGCTGCAGCGAGGTTGCAAATAAATGTATTCCATTTTGGCGCTGATGATTTCCTTTTAAAAATCTTTTAAAGTTTTTTCGCTTTGGCGTCGAGATCCGATCCGGTTTTGGGGCTGGTTTCTGTTGCCGCTGCGCATAGTTCTATTGTGTTTTGCAACGCGGCCTGCGCAGATCGCATTGGAATGGCTGCGTCAAGGTTGCTCGGTGCTGCCGCTGCGTGCACGATAATCATGATATTGTCTTTTGCAGCTGAGAGTCGTGAATCGCATCGGAGTGTCTGCATCAAGGTTGCGACGGACTTGGGAGTGGGCTAGGGGAAAAGAAACGTGTACAGGAGAGGTTATCGGAACCATAGGGATAAGGTTTCAAAACTAATGTTTCGAGGTCGAGAAACAAAGGTTTCCAAGCCGGAGAAAATGAGTTTGTAAGTTTCCGCTTGCTCCCCGGAGCAGCAGCAGCACCAGGAGCGGTGGCAGCGGCAGCAGCAGGTAGCGGGCGCAGCAGGAGCCGCAGGGCCGCAGTAGCATTAGCAGCAGCCGCAGCAACAGAAAGAGCAGTCGCAGCAGGAAGACGAAGTAGAAGAAGAAGCAGAAGAAGAAGAAGAAGAAACAGAAGAAGGATAAAAAGAAAGAAGAAGAAGAAGACTAAGAAGAAGAAAGGGAAGCCGAAGAAAAGGAAGACGAAGAAGAGCAAGAACAACTGCAGGAGAAAAACTAGAAAACTGCAGCGGGCGCCTTCTGTTTGGCGACGGCGGTACCTGGCAGGCAGCGGCATGTACGCGGCATTTTCTCGGATCGGAGACAATCGACAAGGCGTGAAAAAGGAAGAAGTGGCACCATACTGCAGACAAGAAGAGAATGGCGAGGCAGTTCGATAGGTCATTGGTGATGCCGACAGAGAGGAATGATGGTGAATATGAAACAGTTGCCACAGCATGGCGAGGCCGAGATGAAGGGCAGCCCCAAAGGTTAGTTTCATTGCTTTCAAACTAACGCTTCGAAACGTAAGTTTTTCAGACGAAAAGGTTTGTTCGAAACAAAAAGTGTTCCGTGTCCATGAAAAACAAACGTTTCAGCTTGGCAGTCTGGCAGTTTGTTATTCCAACCCAAAACAAACGTTTTGTACAATAGTTTACTTGTTTCCATACCTAAAACAAACGTTTCTGAAACAAACGTTTTCGCAAAAACAAACAGACAAACTAGTCGAAAAAAGGTTTGTTTTTGAGCGTTTCAAACTAGTTCCGACGGAGTTTGTTTTGAGTTTCCAGTTTCAAACTAACGTTTCCAAAAAAGGTTTGTTTCGAGCCCTGAAACTTACGTTTTCGCAGGGGAAACGTTAGTTTTTGGAGGAAAACATGTGTTTTCTCCTTCCACTGCTTCCAGTCCCAAGCTTGGACAACACCAAACCATTAGTTTCCGCCTGGAAAACAAACCTTTTCTGCCGTCTAGAAACATTTGTTTCAACCAGGAAAACTAACCTTTCTCCTGTCAAAACGTTTGTTTCTGCCTCAAAACAAACTCCTGGTTGCATCCTTACTGTGCCATTATTATGTACATTAAAGCTTCTCTTTCAGTGTAAACGCTTCCTCTGTGTAAAAGCTGGTTCTCTGTGTAAAACCTTCTCTGTGTAAAAGCTTGCTGTGTGCAAAAGCTTGCTCTGTGTAAAACCTTCTCTGTGTAAAAAGCTTGCTGTGTGTAAAAGTTTCTCTGTGGAAAAGCTTCTCTGTGTAAAAGCTGGCTCTGTGTCAAAGCTTCTCTATGTAAAAGCTTGCTCTTCCTAAAAGCTTCTGTGTGTAGAAGCTTGCTCCGTGGAAAACCTTTTCTGTGTAAAAGCTTGCTCTGTATAAGAGCTTCTGTGTTTCAAAGCTTCTCTGTGTAGAAGCTTCTCTGTTTCAAACCGTCTCTGTGTAAAAGCTTCTGTGTGTCAAAGCTGGCTCTGTGTGAAAGCTTTCCCGTGAAAGAGCTTCTCTGTGTAAAAGCCTGCTCTGTGTGAAAACTTGCCCTGTATAAAGCCTTCTCTGTGTAAATGCTTCTCTGTGTACAAGCTTCGCCGTGTAAAAGCTTCCTCTGTGTAAAAGCTTCTCCGTGTGAAAGCCTGCTTCTTTGTGTAAAAGCTTCTCTGTATAAAAGCTTGCTATGTGTAAAGGCTTCTCTGTGTAAAAGCTTCCCTGTGCAAAATGTACAGCTTGCTCCGTGGACAAGCTTGTCTGTGTAAAAGCCTCTCTGTGTAAAAGCTACTGTGAAAAAGCTTGCTCTGTGTAAAAGCTTGCTCTGTGTAAAAGCTTGCTGTGTGTAAAGGCTTCTCTGTGAAAAAAGCTTCTCTGTATGAAAGCTTGAGAACTGTAACAGCTTGCTATGTGTAAAAGCTTCTCCGTGTAAAACATTCTCCGTGTAAAAGCTGGCTCTGTGTCAAAGCTCCTGTGTGTAAAAGCTGTAAAAACTTCTCTATGGAAAAGCTTCTCTGTACAACCGATTCTTTGTGTGAAAGCATCTCTGTGTAAAATGCTAAGCTTCATTTGTGTAAAGCTTCTCTATGAAAAAGGGTCTCTGTGTAAAAGCTTCTGTGTGTAAAAGCTGGCTCTGTGTACAGCATCTCTGTGAAAAGAGGTGGGAAGAGTTGAGAAGAGTTGACAAGGTGACAAGAGGTGAGAAGAGTTGACATGAGCTGAGAAAGAGGTGAGATGAGTTGAGCGGAGGAAGAGGCGGAAAGAGGTGAGAAGAGTTGAGACGAGATGAGAAGAGTTGAGAAGAGGTGACAGAGTTGAGAGCCGTTGAGAAGAGTTGAGAAGAGGTGTGAAGAGGTGAAAATAGTTGAGCTGAGGTGGGAAGAGATGAAAAAACTTGAGAGCTGTTGAGAAAGTTGCGAGAAGAGTTGAGAAGAGCTGAGATGGTCTGAGAAGAGCTGAAAAGAGCTGAGAAGTGGTGGCCACAGTTGAAAAGCGGTGAGGCAAGTTGAGGACGAATTCACAGAACAGAGTTGAGAAGATGTGAGCTTTGCTGCAGCTCCTATAGGCAAAACTTGTCCTTCAGTCCTATAGTGTAACATTCCTTGCTGCTGGAAACTTCCGCCACCCGCCTCGTGCGGGTTTTACTTGTAGATTGGTGGGTTGCAGCTTTTCCAGCCAATATTAATCCCAGATGCTCTCAAACATTCAATCTTGCTCTCGCTTTCCACCAAGCATCGCTCCTTGATCTTGTCCCGAATAACCTTGCGAGGCCTGTTACTGCCTGCCACATTGACCTTCGGGTGGTCAAGATGGCCTAAGACGATGGCACGATCGTCAGGCTTGTACCACCCAAGAACACACCTACTCCTACAGTGAACCGTGCACATGGCACGACGGAGGGCTTCTGCCCAAGTAACAAGTACTAGTACTAACTTACGGTGGCTTACAGTTCCAAGATGTTCCTAAGAACACCATCCCACGTCCAATCGATCTTGTGTGCTCTTCTGGTATAGTATACTCCAAGTTTTCCCGAATCCGAGAAAGCACGAGCAACCTGATCAACCTGATTGTTTTGCCTATACGTGTCATCTATGCATGCCAGCTAACGCGCAAAGGCTTTCTGCATAACCAAGCTTCAAAATGGGCACGTGCGACCCGCGCGACAGCCACGTGCAGAATTGAAAAAAACGCAGGGATCGCATACACCTGCGCGATGTGATTGCAAGAGCGCATGAACGATCGGTGCCATGATAACGCAGGGTGGCCCACCTTGGTTCTTGGTTTGGGGAGCAAGGCGACACAAGGCAGACCAAGCAAGCACACCGGGGTTTACCCGTCTATCCCATCCAACCCTTCAACCCGTTCTCATTTTCTGAGGTAGTTCCTGAGCTTCATGATATTGCACACGGTGAAAACCCCAGTCTGACAGATCGAAACCGTCGAGTTCAACCAGGCACGCTGAGGATGCGCTGAGGCTGAAGCACTACCTTGAGCAGCAGGGACTGAGAGCACTGAGACTGAAGGCATTGAAGGCATTGAAGGCATTGAAGACTTCTGGTTCGAAGAACTCGAAGGCTCGTTGTCAGTGAAAGAATTGATGTCTACATCTTCAGCTTGCCACTGTTTGTTCCTTAGAGATTTAGAGAATCTAGATAGTTCACATAATAAGGATGGCCCTTCATGGTGTACTGTTGGTATCACGAACCATCACTAATTGACCATTCTAGGAAGGCAAAGTGCCCGCCGCAAATCGCCACAGCATAATGCTGAAAATGTGCAAAGCACCTTCCACAAACAAGAATGTCTAAACAATTTGATTTAAAAATGCTGAACATCTACTGAAGAAGGATTGATTGACAATTGAAGGATGCGCATGGCGCGTTACAATCAAATACAAGTGGGCAGAGACGAAAACCCTGGTGCTATTCTCTACTCCTACAGGTCTCGCAATGATTGCTAAGTTGATTCTGCTTCCGCGGGGCTTCTTCGAAAAAAAATCATTAATTAAGCTACTCATTGGATTCGTCGGCCGCGGTCGGATGATCAGCTTGTTCCGCGAGCGCTTCCGGACGCTTCCGCGGCCGCGGGTTTCATGTCCGCAGGCCCAACTAAGTTTCATCCCAAAAAGCACTCTTGGAGGTCTTCGACGCTGCTCAATTAGCGTTTCTCTGGATGTCAGCCAAGCGACAGTCTTAGAACCCATTCAGTCGACGACGACTCTTCGGAGAGGGAGGACTCTGAGCCATGCCCCACCCGGCCACCATGTTGCTTTGGATGGTGAGCCATCAGAACTGCGGCAATCAGGGACAGCACATGACAGCACTTTAGCTTGGGACAATTTCGTCCGAAATCAACATGAGATCGAAAAGCACAATAAGTATCATCAAGAAAGCATGCAGTTTGCATCAAGTTGAACAAGAAAGTAGAGAATGAGAAAATGTAATGTAATGTCTATGCTGGCATGCCACTCCGTCTTGTGCAGGCCACTTGAGATGGACTTGCTTTGAGACATGGAAACACTGCCAACATCTGCCGACTACATACAAATGATAGGCAAGGATTATTCCATTCTTGGCTGCGATGTAAACCGGCTATTTTTCTGATCATTTCCATGGGTGAAAACACCCGGTCGCCAAACATCTCCTTCTGCCAGCAGGAGCTTTCAGTTTTCAGGTAATAAACGCGGCAAAGATTCGGGATGCAGCAGAATGCAAGTGCAAGCGCAGGTCAGAAGCAAATGGGTGCAGCATAGTAGTGTTTGGATTTTTTATGGCTCAGGTTTTGGAATTTTTGTTGGCTTTCTTTCCTGGTACCATCTGCCTTGTATTTGCAACAGTTTCAAACTAGAATCTGTTATCCTGCATGGTATTTGCTACATTTTGGCATGGTCACTTTGCATTTTGCATGGTATTTGCTACATTTGGCCATGTTCGCCTCCCATTTTGCATGGTATTTGCCACGTTTCGGCACTTCAACCTCTCATTTGCATGGTATTTGCTAGATTTTGGTACTTCAAACGTTCATGTGGGTTTCTTGAAAGTTTCTTTACGGTTTCATGTAGGGTTTCATTTCAGGTTTCATTTAGGGTTTCTTTAGAGTTTCGTTTAGGGTTTCTTTTGGGTTTCATCTAGGGTTTCATTTAGGGCTTCATTTCAAGTTTCATCGTTTCATCTAGGGTTTCTTTAGGTTTAGGGTTTGTTTAGGGTTTCATGTATGGTTTCTTATCAGGATTTTCAAACGTTCATGTGGTTTTCTTTAGGGTTTTTTTAGGGTTTCATTCGGGGTTTCATTTAGGGTTTCTTTACGGTTTATTTAGAGTTTCATGAAGGGTTTCATTCCAGGTTTCATTTAGGGCTTCTTTAGAGTTTCGTTTAGGGTCTCTTTGGGGTTTCATGTAGTGTCTTGTAGAGTGTCGTTTAGGGTTTCTTTCAGATGTCATGAGGGTTTCATTCAAAGTTATTTTAAAGATCTTTAGGGTTTCATTTATGGTTTCTTTTGGGTTAAGTAATGGTTTCTTTAAGGTTCATGTAGGGTTTCATGTAAAGTTTCTTGTCAGGAGTTCTTATCAGGATTTCTTTAAGGTTTCTTTGGGTTTCGCCTAGGGTGTTTACAAACATGAGGGAATAAAGTAAAAATTTCAGGCAGTAAAGACAGGAAGCAGAGAAGCAGAGGAGCAGGAAGTAGAAACACATGACTGAAGAAAAGAAAAAGCAGAATAGTAGAAGTAGAAAGGCGCAGAAGCACAAAACCAGAGAAGCAGGGAAAGCAAAGAAGCAGAAAAGAAAAGAAGCAGGTAAAGCACAAAAGCAGAAAAGCAGAGAAAGCAAAGAAGCAGAAAAGAAAAGAAACAGGTAAAGCAGAGAAGCAGAGAAGCAGACAAGCAGAGAAGCAGGAAAGCATAGAACCAGGAACCCAAAAATAATTTCAAAACCTGCCGCCAAAAAAAAAACTCCGAAGCAAATGCTTTTGCACCACGTCCCCGCACCTACCAACCCCACACGGCATCTTTGACCGTAGCACTAAGTGCGTGTATGCAGGCTGGGGGCATTAGATGGCATTAGGCCAGCGCAGCATCAAACCCATGAGCAGCGAGATCATCCTGTCCAACCTGAGTTCACATTACAACAACAATTTTTCCCACCTGCAAAAACATGGGAACTCATCAGAAATTAGGGACAACACTTCTCCGCTGCAACAACACCTTGCGGTAAGCCATTGTAAGCAGCAGCAGCAGCAGCAGCGGCGGCGGCGGCGGCAGCGGCAGCGGCAGCAGCACGCTGTGGAAGGGACACCCTCAGCCCAAAGCCTAAAGCCCGCACTTGTACCGTGGCGGCAACACAAACACAAACAGCATCAACCAGCCAACTCCAGTTCTGCGCAGGAAGAGCCACAATTGCCCCAATAGCTATATATATAAATATATATATATTATATATGTATATAATATAATATAATATAATATATGGTCGCACCCCCCCAGAACCTACATCTGCATGACTTCACATCCGACTCAATGTTGCTGCAGCATGTGGGATCTGGTGGTGGTTGAAACATGTTTATGTGCATGCATACTAGCGTATGATACATATATACTACACATGTGTGATCATTTTCTGTAAAAACGTAGGTTCTTGGGGGGGCGTGAGCATGAAAAAGAGCAGAAAGCATGATGGATGTCTATGCATCCCGGGCCAACGACATAAATGCATTCAAGTCTGCCAGGTGTGCTCATGCCGATCGAGGCCCCCAACACAAGGGATGCCAACACCGCCGGGGGGGTATCCTCAGTGTGGTCACCTCATGTCATATGACATGAGAGAGCCGGAGATCGAATGGAAGCAATAGAACTCCATGGAAGCCCTGCCACCAAGGCGCTGCGCTATTGAACGCTAATGCTAATCCTCCTTCCATTACGACTGGCACAGTAATGTTTTGGAGTTGATATTTAATGTCATAATTTATTTGAACTGGACGGTTTTGATATGTTGAATGCTGGGAATGCCGCCACGGCCCTCAGGGTCTCTGCCTCGGAGTTGAACCTTGCAGCTGCAGGATGGCAACACATGTATACGATGATAGAAGTAAAAGTGAAAACATCATGTGAATCCACCGCATGTACATGACGCGCATGTATGTACATGATGTACATGTAACGTGTTTCCACATGTAACGTGTGTACACGTAACACAGACTGTAAGATGTATATGCAGGATGTACATGTTACATCCCATATTCCATTCATATTCCCAAGGTGTATATCGTAGTTCAATCCAATTATCGAAGGAAGTTTAGTTATAGGAAACTTCCGAGTTACAGACGATTGTCATGGTTACCATTTCCACCATCATGTCAACCACATCATCATGTCATCGAAATTCGGAGGCGTGTGAATTAAATATACATCCAAGCTGGGCAAAGTGAGTTCCGCCAAGTCCCAAGGGGCAGCTCGGCACCCCCTGGTCGACGCTGTGCATGCGCTCGGCACGGAGCGCTGCCAAGCGCACGACCTGGCACTCGCTGCCCCACGCACCGGCTTGCAACTTCGCCCGCAAGGATGAGCAGCTTGTGCGGCCGGGGCACGAGGAGCTGCGGATACCGCGGTGCCGGGCGGCGGCGAAGGCGACCCCATGTGTGAATTCACGGGTGTCAATACGCTTGGACGCGAAACCCTGTCTTTTTTCGGTAATGTGGCTCCTGTGGTCGCCGAAGTACAGTCTCCGTTTCCGCGGGTTCGGGGCTCGCTCTGCAAAAGTTGTCCGCAAAACGTGCACAGGACCGTGGCGAGAGCTCAGTTTGCACTTCAAAATGTTAAAAACTTGCATGTTCGGAGCACTGTTGGAAGATGGGGTCGGCAAAATAAAATGTGCACCAGACTGCAAGCCCGACCCCACATAAGAATCAACAAAAACTTCGGAGTAACGCAGAATCATGTCCATTTTCAGCCCTGCGCGAACATTGGTCGATTTGGTGCCGCGCTCCTCCTGCAATGCGGGTTTGCAACTGTCGGTGACAAACTGCATCGGCACGGCTGCGCGCAGACAAGATCAGAAAAGCATCAGTGGTGCTGCGGCTGCTCGAAAAGCAGTTCTTGACCATAGCGCTACTCTTGCGCTATGCGGGATTGCAGCTGGACACTTGCGGGAAGAGAAGACTTGGGTTGCAGAAGCTACAAAAAAGCCAGCTGGGAGGCAGCTCAGAGCAGAAGTGGCCCAGATAAGCGGCTGCTCAGAGAATAGCTTAGAGAATAGAGAAGAGGATTCAGCGAAGAGGTCGCTCGGTGAAAGAGGTCGCTCGGTGAAGAAGTAGCTCAACAAAGAAAAGTAGCTCGCCCATCTATCTCATCCACCCATCCCTTCATTCATTGGTTCAGTGCTCCATTGATTCATGGATTCATGGAATCACTGATTCACTGCTGATTCATTGACTCACTAGTCATTGATTCATCGATTCATTGGTTCACTGGTTGGTTGATTCATTGAGTCATCTCTTCGCTGCTTCATTGATTCACTGATTCATGAGTTCACTGGTTCATTGATTCGTTAGGTCATCGGTTCATTGATTCATTCACTCAATTGCGCGCGGATTCTTTCATGATGTCATGTCATTGGCATCTCAACCACCATTTCCTCATTCGTTGGTGCACCTCACAACTTCAACCGCTCATGGCTTCTGCATCTCAGAAACTTTCCTATAGGCCATCTTCTTCCTACAGTTGCTTACTTTTTTCGAAATTTCCGCCCCAGCGCGGGCCGGGCACTACCTGGTAATTGTACCCTTCGTTTCCACCTTACCAGAAAGTACAATATACCTTTTGACATCCCCATTGCTTCCCAAATTTCAATTGGTTAGAAACCCCATCAAACCACTAAATTCTTCAGGATGGTTGAAACCACCAAACACCATTAATGTAAAGCACAAAAAAACGCGCCGATCTCAGTGCGACATGATTCCCGTGGCCCGGAAAAAACATCTTTGAACTTTGAACGGTCTTATTTGCTTAGCTTAGCTGTAAAACCTGCTTGGACAGGCCCCTTTGGTTTTGGAATCAAAATAAATCAGAACGAATCAAAAGGAACCACAACGAATTAGATTCAAATAGAACAACATGCTGCAACATGTAACAAACGGTATCCGCCAACCATCATGTCAGGATACTTAGCTCGTCATAGCTCGTCACCACTAAGCATCTGCCGCACCTAAAGAGTATAGCGTTGGATGTTTGAGGCCGAGACCTGGCCCAAACTTCGGACGTCTGCGCTAAAGCTTTGCGAAGAGGTGACAAAACACATGCTACCCCAAACATCATCTGCCATATGTATATAAATATTATATATATATATATATGTCTCTCTCTCTCTCTCAGCACTGTTGGTCCAAAGCCCTCGCTCCTAATGATTTTGACGCTTCAAGATGTGTTTTCTGGGCCAACTAAAGAAGATTTTGACAGATTTGGGGCGAAGAAATGTGTCAGATTTTTTGCGCGCACTCTCCTGTTATGGCCCTGCCACCACTCGGCACTTGCTCGCCTGGCTTGTGGCCTCCACCTCCAAGTGGGTGGTGGGCCTGACCCAAAGGCCCAATCGAGGAGCAAGAGCGAGATGGAGTGAGAGACAATTTCGCTGTGCAAAAATCAAGCGTTCAAAGCCATTCTCAAAGCACGACGCCACCAACGCACCTGTGTGCAACAGTATATATACATATATATATATATTTATATATATCATGTGATCATTCATGTGATATCATGCGATCATTTCATAGTATGCATGTCGATGCATCCTGCTTCCCCGTTGGCTCGACAAGGGCGCAAGCAGTGCTGGGCAGTGCTGGGCGTGGTCATGTTTGCTGTGCTCTAAGGGAGGCAAGCTGTGGAGAAACTGCCGTGAGATGTCTAAGGCCAGTCTGAGGCCAGCACCCACATGAACGAGGTGGAGCAAGGGTGAACATTCACCTGATGGTAATATGCACAAGGTGATTGCAAAAGCCGCGATACTCAATTTGCAGATATTTACACCATGATCAATAATTACCATGTTGCGCCATTGCTGCACGCATCCGAGCATCTTCACAACGCCATCCACCAGGTCTTGACGGAAACCACTTTTGCGATACATTTACATCAATTAATCTATACCAGTAGTACCGCGCAAGGCGGCGGCGGAAGTTTCAAAGATAGGAACCTATAGGAGAGGTGAGTTGTTGTGATGCATGGATGGCAGAGCGGATCCACTAATGGATGGAAACGTAGTTGGAGTCGTGCTTCTTGAAAAGGTTGCGGTGGTCACCTCACCCACCCACCACTGTTGGATGTAGTGTGGTGTAGCGTAGTGGTACTTGTAGCTGTAGTTGTAGTGTGGTGTAGTGGTAGTTGTAGTGTAGCGTGGCGTAGTGTAGCGTCGTGTAGCTGTAGCTGTAGCTGCAGTTGTAGAAGTAGTTGTAGCGTAGTGTAGTGTAATGAGGTAGTGTAATGAGGTAGTGTAGTGTACAATCGTGTAGTGTAGCCTGGTCTAGTCTAATGTAGTGTAACTAGTGTAGTGTAGTTGTGGGTGTAGTGTAATGTAATTAGTGTAGGGTAGTGTAGGGTGGTGTAGTTGCACCTGTAGTTGCAGTTGTTGTTGTGGTTGTAGTGTAGTGTGTTTAAGGTAGTGTCCTATAGTGTAGTCACAGTCCAATGTAATGTAGTGTAGTTGAAGTTGTAGCCGCAGTTGTAATTGTAATGTATTTAGTGTAGCGTCCTATAGTGCAGTGTAGTGCAATGAAATGTTCTGCAGCTGTAATTGTAGTAGTAGCTGTTGTAGTTGCATTTGTAATTGTAGTTGTAGTTGTACTGTAGTGTAGTGTAGTGGCTGTAGTTGTTGCTGTCGTGTCGTGAGCGTCCAAAACAGGTCCGAACATTTATGTGCTGCGCGCCACTACGGCGTGCACTTTTTCCATCTTTTTCCACATCTGAGCCTCCAAAAATAATCCCAGACGGTCAGTTTTTAACACTTTTGACTTGGAAACGCGCTTCGCGCCACAAGGGCGTGCACTTTTTCGACATCGCAACCTCCAAAAGCGGCCCGAGAATGTAGTGTTTTAACATTTTGACTTGGAAATTTGCTTTGCGCCGCAGCGGCGTGCATTTTTCAGCATCTCAACATCCAAAAGTGCTCCGAGCCTGCGGTGTATTGAACAGTTTGACTTGGAAACGTGCTTCTTGCATCTTTTTGCCACAATGCCGTGCACTTTTTCATCATCTCAACTTCCAAAGGTGGTCCGAACATGTGGTGTTTTTTACAATTTTTACTTCGAAATGTGCTTGGCACCACAACGGGCTGCACTTGTTCAACATCTCAACACAACGTCCAAAAGTGCCCAGGACGTGAAGTGTTTTTAGCTTTTTGACTTCCAAATCTGCTTCGCGCCACAACGGCGCGCAATTTTTCATTTCTCATCTCCCCAGATGGCTCCGCACCCGCCGCTTTAGCGAGCCTACTTTTCCCTCCGGAGCCACAAAACATTGGAAAAATAAAGAGAATCGCGACTTTTCTACCTTTTCGCGCACCTGCATCTTCTGTCTTCTGACTCTTTCTCTTTTCTGATCTTCTTTCTTCTTGTCTTCTCTTCTCTGATTCTTCCCACCTCTGCTTTTCCATCTGTTCATTTTGTAGGAAGATGTAGGAAGTTTGACTTCTAAACTTCCTTCGGTCACTTTTCTTACCGTGTGATGCATTTCCGATAGCTGAGGTTAAGTCGTTCTGGAGCGGCAGGATGATTCCCAGCTTGTGATCAGAAATGGCTTCAGGCCCAGCAATAGCCACGCACTTGGGAAACAGCCAAACAAAGGACCCAGCCTAACAGGCTCAAAACCCAGTGAGACTAGTGAGGCCAGCAAACGAGCTGACAACCCGACAGCGGCCACATGACGAATTGGACAACACACCGAATTACAGTATGCAATGGTAGTCTGCTGCCCATTCCTAGCTTGCTTTGGCATGCAGATAGCCCAAAGCCCATAGTCATGCACAGCAGGGAGCCTCACCCTCCCCCAGGCATTGCGTTGCCAGGCTGCCGTAATCTTGATGAAATGCGGAACACGTTGCAACTTCTTCCGGTTCGTCCGCCTAGCCGCAGCCGCACACACTTTGGCGCATGCACACTTTGGTGCCAGGTCTAAGCCATGGAAGACGTGCACCCGAAAGGGTCCGGGTGCAAGAGGCAACGGCTCAAAGATATGCAGGTCTAGAAGGAGTTCCAACGAATCCAGAGCCCACTGTGTACAAAGAACTGAATAAACTCGCGATAACTGTGATAACTTGCGCGCGCGTTTGAAGTTTGAAGGTAGCGATCGTACGCGGCAATAATTAGCGATGATTTGCCATACCTGTCATACTGTCATGCTATACTGTAAGGAGCTCACAACTTCAGAAACGGCACAATGCTTTCAAAAAAAACGCCGAAATTCTTGTGGTCCCAGCGGTGCTGAGTAGTCGGACTCCACAACGTAGGTACATGCAGGAACCAGGTCATAATATGTCTAGTATGAGACTGCATATCAAACAAGCTCCAATCTTCTGGTTTGGGGAATGTGCCCAACAATAGCACCACAACCCCCTGTACATATATGCCACCTTCAGCAGCATGGTCTGCAAAGGCAGGCCGATGAATTTCATGTGCTCAGCTTAGCTTGCAAGCAGGACTGGAATGTGGGCAGCATCGATGCAATCACATATCATCGCCAAAAAGCAATTACATGCTGAGATCATGGCTATGTTTTCTGTTTGAACAGCCCGCACCTTCACGTGAATTTCCGCGATGGCTGCAAGGCATTATAGACTAAGCTGACAGACAGAATCCTAACAGCTTGGAGTGTCCGTGATGTCTCAGCTGCTTAGACTTGTTTGAACGGACCAACCTACCAGACCCAACCGGGTTCTAGAGTGACAGAAATGAAATGTACCAGTGCCCAACATGTGCTTGATCACCGGACAGTCCGAGCATCTTATGCACAGGCGTGAAATCTCAAAGCTCAGCAAACCAACAAATTGGAGTCAAAATGCTGTAGTCTGAAATCAAATCGGAACCCGATGCCTCTCAAAGTTGCATCAGACGGTTTCAGTGTGAAGGAATGGTACCGAAGTTGAGAAGATTTGTGCCACGCTCATGTCTTCAATAAACCCATGGTCGCCAATTTGATGAAAAGGCGACTTTTCAAGGCATCTGCCAGGAGGTTGAAGCGTTCGGACTTGACTACTGCCTTGGCGCTCCAGTCAGTGCTTGGGAAGACAGTGGTCTGGGAGTTTGTTGGGATCATAGTCCGACTGCATCCAACTGCACCAGCCGCTAGTTGACCGTCTTGCGAAGGTCTTTCCCAGCGTTGTCTCAATCATTCTAAATCCATGTTTGTGGAAGTTCAGTGCCAGCGAAACACAGACCTTTGGCTCCGGGCTGTGGCATTGCCAGCGGCAAAGTTCATTACGATGCTTCGAATGTATTGAGCCTGCCAGGAGAGCGAAATGCTGACTGAAGCTCTGCTTCACATTCTGTCAATCTCCAGTCTATAACAACGGCGAATACTAACTGGCTGAGTCTGAGTTATAATATTTCGTAGGTCGTTGGGTCGGTTTTTTGATTTCAAAATTGAAATGAGGTCTGCGTCGCAAGAAATCTTGAAACTTGTTTCGCGTCGTAAACGGAATTGCAAACCACACCTAATGTTGTGTAAAGGCATAGGGTAAAAGGGTACTGTAATCTAGAAAACTAATCATATAAGAGCCACTTGACACAGTCTGAACGTGCCACCCTTTACTGACTTTTCAGTTCAAGGATGTTTGGGGATATGCCCCAGCATGTCTTGCAATGGCATGAAGCATGGCCAACTCATCCGTGCCAAAGGAGATAGGACTTGGGTGCGCATGACGTCTCAAGACGTCCAATTTGCGTTTTTCAGGCGCGAAAAGCTCAAATTGAACGTCTTGAGAAACGAGCTGGGGTTCGACTCCTCCCCGGTCCGTGTTCTTGCTGGGAAAGGTGGTTCCCTTCATTTTTGTCCTACAACGTGAATATTGCATTAAGAATGCATTGTATAAGCATTCGAGCGGCTCGGATCCAATGACCCACGTGGTGTGATTGTGAAAGACCAAGAAAAACACATATGTTGGAAGACCCTAAGAGGTCGCGCAAGACAGCCCATCAGTCTGGAATCAATTGGGGGTCACTACCAAAATTTGACCTCACTGAGCCACACTTGGCTCCCAAGTATTTTGCTTTCTAGCGCTCCTGAAGGCTCCAACCAGGCCACCACCCTCCTCCCTGACATGTTTCGCAACTCGTATGAAGACCCATCAGTGGCTCTTTAGGGCCTGTCCGTGCAAGTGTTTTTGCTCCCTGTCCTGCTGGCAAAGAAAAATTCACCCGCCTCCACTTTGCTTCTGCGTCTTTCTTCTTTTCTTCCGCAGGCATGGGAGTATTTTTATAACTTATATAAAACACTATTTATATATATATATATAAGTATATAAACTATATAAATGTAATACGCAAAAAAGAATGTTCTAAGAATCTGACGGGCCCTCGACCTTTTATGGTGGAAATTCCCCTGCACTTACAAATAAGAATTTGAGGGGCCCTGGGCCTCAAACTTTCGGATTCTTAACCAACTCTCGGGCTGTACCTCAATCCTTTGATTCAAGATACGCAACCCAACATGAAAGGAAACACATGGAAACACTTGGGGGAGCAAGACCGCAGACCAGGGAGGAGTCGAACCCCAGCTCGTTTTTTCAAGACGTCCAATTGGAGCTTTTCGAACCGTGAAAAGCTCAAAATTGTCAAAATTGGACGTCTTGAGAAATCAGCGCGCCCAAGTCCCATATCTCCTTCAGCACGGGTGAGTTTGGCCATGCATCGCACTGTTGCAAGACATGCCAGGGCATGGCTGAAATACAACGCTTGATTCTTGAACTAAAAAGTCAACTCAAAATCCTTAATTCAGGTTTATTGGTCGGTTTCTGGGGTGACGTCGGGTGACGTCGTAATGATTCAGGCAGATATGAACTTTCTGGCTCCGGGGCAGAACAGGGAGTACAGAACGCAAGCACTGTACTAATATGATCTAGTATGTAATAATTGCTGTTGGGTTCCAGATTGTTATCTTTTGTGTTCGTTCTTCTGGGTGATCCCACCATTTGGTCTTCAGTCTGTGTGCACCTGCAGGTCCATGCAGTCGATGCTTTCCAAGACTTGCAACACATCGCAGCAATTCTCGACGCCTAAGAGGAAACGTTCCCAGCGCATCACAGCGCGGCTAAGCCCATCCAAGTCGGCTCATTGGTGTGGTAAGTACGGCAAATGCCAAGGCCACAGGTCGTGAAATTTGGAACTCTGCTCTGAACATTATGGGGCCAAAATGATCCAAGAGTCCTAGATAGTCCAAAATGGTTCAAAAGTGCCCAAGTAGCTGGAAGCATTTATCCTGCCGCCATTGCAAGTAAATTTTTGTTTGAAAGAAACCGGGTCTGGTGACGCATTTCTCCCCAAACAGTTCACTGTTGAAGTTCCCAATTCTTTCTTCAGAGGTGTCCGGCTCTCCGGCTCCCCCGATGTCTCCAATTCATTCGTTTCCCCATCTAGAAATCCGTTTGTCTCCCAGTCTGGCTGGTGGCTGGTGGTGTCCGGCCAATTCATTTGTTTCCACATCTAACAATTCATTTGTTTCCCAGTCTGGCGGTGGCTCGTGGTGTCCGGCTCTCCCGATGTCTCCATGTCATTTGTTTCCCCATCTAGCGGTTCATTTATCTCCCAATCTGGCTGGTGGTGTCCGGCTTTCCCGACGTCTCTAATACTAATTCATATGTTTCGCTATCTAGCAAGTCTGGCTAGTGGTGTCCGATGGTGTCCGGCTCTCCCGATGTCTCCAGTTAATTTGTTCCCACCTATCACCTATAGCAACTTATTTATCTCCCAATCTGGCTGGTGGTGTCCGGCTCTCCCCATGTCTCCAATTCATGTGTTCCCACCTATCAACTATACTATAGCAACTTATTTGTCTCCCAATCTGGCTGGCGGTCTCCGGCTTTCCCGATGTTTTCAATTCATTTGTTTCCCCATCTAGCAATTAATTCGTTTGTCTCCCAGTCTCGTCGACTTTGGTTTCCACCTTGTCTCCCACCGTGTTTGGTTTCCACTGTATCTCCCACTTTGTCTCCTATACTGCGCCTCCCTTGCTTTGTATTCCACCTTGTTCCAATCTCTAGAAGCAGGGGGCGGTATCCTGACTTCACACCCCGTCCCCATGCATGTGCAGGGTTCCGGCAGGGTCCTGGAACCTTGGAACCTCGTCTCCTAGTGGTCTTCCGGTTGTCTCACAATCCCCACCCTTTTAGCAGGGGACCCTGATATAATCTCATATGGTGGATAACATGTTGCTTTGTACACATTCTGTTCAAAACAATCTATAACCAGAAGTCACCTCAAGTACCTTTAGGATCTACATGCGACCCCTCAAGCCGGTAGATCCATGAATGCACGACATAGTGTAGTTAATGTTGAAGGAGACGAAACGACTGGAACAGTTACCACTTGATGTCAAGTCAACCCATAAAAAATACATCGTCCTGTTTTTCTCGACATCAACGTCTGAAACACAACCAAACATCAACTAAACATTGTTTCCGGGGATTCATTTCACCTAGGAGGTAAATGTAGACAAGAAAAAAGTAGTAGTGCTCGTTGCTGCGAAAACCGAAAACCAATGTTTGAAAACCAAACATATCAAACCTTCATACCATTTCAGACCTGAGTACCTGAGCAAGTACTATATAACTACCAAACAACGACCCTATACGCACCATCCGGGAAGACCATGTCACCAAGTCGCAAGTGACAGCTTTTTGCTTCGCGACTACAATCCGAACAGATACGGCAAGCTGGACAGGTCAGAAAAAACGCAATCCAACTTTTCGAAGTGCAGGCATTGGAACGGCCAGACAAGACACATTCCACTTGCGATTGCATGTTTCAGCGGTCAGAAAAGACACACGACGACAGATCAGAAAAGACACAGTCGACTCTCGAAAAATATCCCTTCACGGCGCTGTGTAACTAGGAAATTCCAAAGTCTCCTTCAGGACCTTCACTTTACTATTCAGCGTTTTCTTTGCAAACGCCTCCAAAGGTGGTCGCTTCCTGCCCGCTGTCTGTTCCATCTCTTCTCTGCTATTGAAGCCTTTCAAGCCAAGCGGCAGCATCCACCGTTGAGGAATGCTGCAAAACTTGCTATCTATCTATCTATCTAATCTATATCTATCTAATCTATATCTATCTATATCTATCTATCTATCTATCTATCCATCTATCTATCTCATCTGTCTATCTATCTATGTATCTATCTATCCATGTATCTATCTATCCATGTATCTATCTATCTATCTATCTATCTATCTATCTATCTATCCATCTATCCATCTATCCATCTATCCATCTATCCATCCATCTATCTATCCATCTATCCATCTATCCATCTGTCTATCTGTCTATCCATCTATCTATCTACCTATCCGTCTATCTATCTATCTATCTATCTACCTATCTAGCTATCTATCTACCTATCTGTCTATCTGTCTATCTATCTCTCTCTCTCTCTCTTTCATCTGTCTTTCTATCTATGTATCTATCTATCCATCTATCTATCTGTCTATCTATCTATCTATCCATCTACCATCTATCCATCTATCCGCTATCCATCTATCCATCTATCCATCTATCCATCTATCTAACTCTCTCATCTTTCTATCTTTCTATCTATCTATCTATCTCTTTCTCTCTCTCTCTCTCTGTCTGTCTGTCTGTCTGTCTATCTACCTGTCTTTCTGCAAGCTTGAAAACGAAGCTATTCTGCGAGGCTTCCTCAGTTTTTGAACTTGACACCGTCAAGAACGAAACGACTTTGCGACACTTCCTCAATTTTCAAAAACGAAACAATGCTGCGAGACTTCAATGTTTGAACTTGACAACGTCAAAAACGAAGCAATTCTGCGAGACTTCCTTCAAAAATGGAAAGTTGCGTGCAGCGCTGACGGCCTCGTGCCAATGCGTTTTGCGATCTTTCCAGTCCATTTGTCTAAACTATTGCGCCTGCCACGGAAAAATGATGCCAGGTCATACGAAGTGCTGCACCTGTCACGCAAAATCATCTCAGCAAACCTGAAGATCTGGTGCTCCAAAATGCAACCCCTCTCAGGAAATCAGCGCCCGGACCTCTTATAACAGCTCTGATGAACATGTCTTTTGTACCGCGCCTGCCACGGAAAATGCATCTTTGCAGGTTCTCTTCAAATGTCCCACACCTGCCATCGTTTTTGGAAATAATACAAAACCCTCACGTTTTGCTCACTTTTGACAAGGTGCACAATCCAACGACACCTGAACTTCCAAAAGTGGCGCGAACATGTGGTGTCTTTAACATTTTGACTTCGAAATGTGCTTCGCGCCACAACGGCGTCCACTTTTTCGACATCGCAACTTCCAAAAGTGGTCCGAACATGGCGAGCTTTGTACATTTTGACTTGGAAATGTGCTTCGCGCCACAACGGCGTGCACTTTTTCGACATCTCAACTCACAACGGCGTGTGCACTTTTTCGACACCTCAACTTTCAAAAGTGGTCCGGACCTGGTGTGCTTTGTACATTTTGACTTCGAAATGTGCTTCTCGCCACAATGGCGTGCAATTTTTCATCTCTCATCCGCCCAGCGGGCTCCGCACCCGCCGCTATGGCGAGCCTACTTTTCGACACTCCGGAGCGACAAAACATTGGAAAAACAGAGCGTTTCGCGACTTTCCTACCTTTTTGCGCGCCTGGTCTTCTTTCTTCTGAGACTTTCTCTTTTTGGATCTTCTTTCTTCTTTCTTCTTCTCTTCTCTTCTCTTCTCTTCTCTGACTCTTCCCACCGCTGCTTTTCATTTGTCCATATTGTCGGAAGTTTGACTTCTAAACTTCCTTCGATACCAGTAGTACCGCACAAGGCGGTGGCGGAAGCTTCAAAAAAAGGAAACCTATAGGAGAGAGTGGTTGTTGTAAATCACGGATGGCAGAGCAAATCCACTGATGGACCGAAAGGTGGTCGGAGCTGTGTGTTTTTCCCCACAACTTTGTGTGGGGTTCTTGTTTTTGATTCTGTATCCCGAGCCTCCTCCTCCTCCTCCTCCTCCTCCGTCCGCCCGCCTCCGCCTACCACAAACTTGCCTTTGTCAATCACATACCATCTTTCACATATAATAACTTCACACACACTTTGTCACATACCATCTTACACATTGTCACACATACAATAACTTCACACACAAACTTAACACACAACTTTGTCACATACTATCTGTCACATACATAAACTTAACGCACAACTTTGTCACATACCATCTGTCACATACATAAACTTCACACACACAAACTTAACACACAACTTTGTCACATACCATCTGTCACATACATAAACTTCACACACAACTTAACACACAACTTTGTCACATACCATCTTTCACATACATAAACTTCACACACACACAAACTTAACACACAACTTTGTCGCATACCATCTGGCAGGCGTGGCACTTGGCGACCTCCACCTTCGTTTCACGTGGCAGGCGCGGCACTTGGAGGCATCTACATTGGTTTTGCGTGGCAGGCGTGGCGCTTATGGCACTGGGCTGGCTCTGGTGGCACGCTTGGGCGGGCTTGGTCGCCGGTGATGCCGCGGCACTTTGCGTGGCAGGCATGGCACTTGGCGACCTCCACCTTCGTTTCACGTGGCAGGCGTGGCACTTGGAGGCATCTACATTGGTTTTGCGTGGCAGGCGTGGCACTTATGGCACTGGGCTGGCTCTGGTGGCGCGCTTCGGCGGGCTCGGTCGCCGGTGACGCCGCGGCACTTTGCGTGGCAGGCGTGGCACTTGGTGACATCCACCTTCGCTTTGCGTGGCAAGCGTGGCACTTGGAGGCATCTACATTGGTTTTGCGTGGCAGGCGTGGCACTTATGGCACTGGGCTGGCTCTGGTGGCGCGCTTGGGCGGGCTTGGTCGCCGGTGACGCCGCGGCACTTTGCGTGGCAGGCGTGGCACTTGGCGACGTCCACCTTCGTTTCACGTGGCAGGCGTGGCACTTGGAGGCATCTACCTTGGTTTTGCGTGGCAGGCGTGGCGCTCATGGCAGTGGGTGGCGCACTTGGGCCCGATTTAGTCGCGCGTAACGCCGCGGCACTTTGCGTGGCAGGCGTGGCACTTGATGACATCCACCTTCGTTTCACGTGGCAGGCGTGGCACCATCTCACATTCACCTTGGTTTTGCGTGGCAGGCGTGGCGCTCATGGCACTGGGTGGCGCACTTGGGCCCGTTTTAGTCGCACTTGGGCCCGCGGCACTTTGTCACACACCATCTTTCGCCACACCATTTTTCACACACCACTTTGTCACACACCACTTTGTCTCACACAACTTTGTCACACGCTCTCTTTCACACACAACTTTCACACACACCATCTTTGTCACACACCATCTTTCACACACCATCTTTGACACACTATCTTTGACACACCCTCTTTCACACACCATCTTTCACACACACACACACACCCTTTCACACACCATCTTTGTAACACACCATCTTTCACACACAACTTTGTCACACGCTCTCTTTCGCACACAACTTTCACACACACACACCATCTTTCACACACAACTTTGTCACACACAACATCTTGCTTCGTCACACACCATCTTTCTCATACAACTTTTTCACACACGCACACAACTTTGTTTTACTTGTCGGTCCTCCACCACATCCTTTGTCTTTCCTTCTTTCCCCGTCCCCGCTACAACATGTGGTGCTCATTGTTGGAAGAAGCTGCCTTGTGGGGTTATCCGGTCCTTTAATTGGAGTGGCTGCAATGGTTGCAATGGTCACCTGGTCGGTCACCTCACCCACAACTGCTGGATGTAGTGTGGTGTAGTGCAGCTGTAGTTGTAGTTGTAGCGTAGTGGAGTTGTAGTTGTGGTGTAGTGTAATTAGTGTAGTGTAGTTGCAGTTGCATTTGTGGTGGTGTAATGCGTATAGTGTAATGTAATGTAACGTAATGTAATGTAATGCAATGTGGGGTAGGGTAGTGTAGTGTAGTGAAATGCAATTAGTGTAGTGTAGTGTGTAGTGTGCAGTATGTAGTGTGTAGTGTGTAATGCCAAGTTAGGATTTATAAACCCCGCGGTGTTAATCAACCCCCTCTGCCAAAAAAAATGTAATTTTAAAAAAGGTGGTCCCCCAGGATTAATAAACCGTTTGGCTGGGGCATGATTAATCAACCCCCTGTGCTGAAATCAATTTTTTATCCGAAATGTTTGATAAAAATCAACACCCTGGACAGGTTTCCTGCATGGTGGTTTCCTCACTCTTCCCTCATAGGAATCTGAAGACCGCAAGTCAACTTCCTATAACCATGAGCCAAATGAGCCAAATAGCTGCAGACAATCATCACGTGCACGCATGCACACAGAGATTTTAGCAATCAAATCTCCTTTCCTAAGGCTGAAAATGAATCAAAATGGCTGCAGGCAATCAATTAATTAATCCCATCACTGCCATCCCATGCTGCAAAGTGAGATTTTAGCAATCAAATCTCTTTTCCTAAGGCTGAAAATAAGCCAAAATAGCTGCCGGTAATGCCATCACTGCCATCCCGTGCTGCCATCCCATGCTGCAAAGCGAGATTTTAACAATCAACTCTCATCAAATCCAATGGAATCTGATGGGATCCATGGAGTTTTAGCAATCAAATCTCATCAAATCCAATGGAATCTTGTGGGATCCATGAGATTTTAGCAATGAATCTCATCAAATACAATGGAATCTGATGGGATTCATGAAATTTTAGGACTTAAATCTTATCAAATCCAATGGAATCTGATGGGATTCATGAGATTTTAGGACTTAAATCTTATCAAGTCCAATGGAATCTGATGGGATTCATGAATTTTAGGATTTAAATCTTATCAAATCCAATGGAATCTGATGGGATTCATGAGATTTTAGGACTTAGATCTTATCAGATAGACATGCATATACAGGCACAGGAGCTGCACAATGGAGAAGTTCATACAAAGAAGGCAGTTGCATGCTGTGTTTGGTGACATCCGATGGAGGTATATAGAGCTGCAAACATACACGGCATAGATGCAAGTGATCTAGGTCTTTGCAGCCGGCACCGCTATTCAACAATGGGGAGGATTGTATCCGGAGCTGCTTTTGAGCTCACTGCCAAAGTGTCAGACGATACTCATCCACAGGGGCGACGGAAGGAGTCAAGACGGTCGCAAAGAATAGGTGTAATGTTCAGCTTTTATTATTTTCATTTGTAGAAGATGTGAACCAAAGAACATGGTTACTGTAAAAAGTTGGGGCCCTATCCAGAAGTGTAATTTTTGACGGGGCTCAAATCCTCAACTGTTGACCCGAGTCACAAAGAATTCTATCGAGACCACTGCCAAATTTTTAGAAGCTCTGGCGAGCTTGGAATGTCTGAGCCAACGAAGATGAGTTTGGGCCCCATCCAAAATTATATAAATAATTTTTGATGGGGCTCAAATCTACACAGTGTTGACCTGAGTCAGAAAGAATTCTACCGAGCCCAATGCTCTGGTGAGGCATATTGCGCAAGAGTTCCGTCCGAACAACACGTAATATGCCGCTTTGAGATGTAAGACAAGTGAAAAATAAGGGCCCCATCCAATATTGTAATTTTTGATGAGGTTAAGCCTCAACCGTGGATCTGAGTCACAAAGAATTCTATCGAGTCCACGGCCAAATTGATCGAAGCTTCGGCGAGCTTGTGATGTCATGCTCTGATGAAGCATAGGGCGCAAGAGTTGTATCCGAACAACATGTAATCTTCGGCTTTGAGTCGCAAAACATCTGAACCAAAGAAGACTGGAGAGTTACAGAGGGACAGCCCTGGCAGGATTTAAGCCCGTGACCATCTGCTTCCGAGACTGCTTCAAAATGCCCCGGAAGCTTAGGGTAATTAGGGGGGTTCGATTGAAAAAAAACAGACCTGTCCAGCTAGCTACCGCTAGCTTTCGTGATTTCTCAATCGCTTTCCAATTGTTTCCGAGCTGCCTGCTGCCTCCCATATGTGGTCTTCCAATTGTCTTCCACTTGTATCCTTTAGCCTTGAATTTAAAACCGTCACTCCTGTTGGGTTGCAAAGCTGGGTCAATTGTGTCCGGCTCTCCGGATGTCTTTCTTTACTTGTCTCCGTCTCCCTGTCTCTCCCACTGTGGCGTCTTCCATCATGTGTGTCTCACCATCTGTCTCCCTCCCATTTCATTTATCTCCCTAGTCATATGTCTCCCCTAGTGACGGTGTCCTGTTCTTGTTTCATCGCGGTTTCATTTGTGATTGGTCCTTATGATTCCTTATGTCTGTGCTTTCTCCCTTTGTGTCTTCTTGTTGTTTCAGAAGTTGCACCAGATAGACTCCAGATAGCAATAACATGAAAAACCTGTTGCTTGTGACTTGTGACTCGTGCTGTTCTCAATTGAGATGGACTTCAAATTGCCAACACCAGGAGCTAGTATAACAACAAACATGCACGCAGACGCTGCAATGGATATGGAAAGACTGTTTGGGGTCTACGGGGGTGTAATCATGGCAGCAGTGGGCTTGGCATAGCCTCAGTCTCCAGCAAAGTCTCAACTTTGTCAGCTCAACAGCCAGGGCCGCTCGGCGCAAAAATAGGCAAGACCTGATTTTAGGATGTTGCGAGCAATTGAAACGGAACTCATGGAAACAAGTTCAATGATTCAAGTTGTCTGTTCATCGTGTGTTCATCTTGTTTTCATTCTTTTCTTTTTCTTGTTCTTTCTTGTTGATTCGCTTTCACAGGAAGCAAACGCACCGACAGCATCCGAGATCTACCAGGTGCCCAAACGCCACGCAGGTCGCTAAGCTACTTTGGCACACAGTTCGCCTCACCCAAGATTTATGATTTCTTAGGATTCTTGAGTCGTGCTGAGTCACGCTGAGTCAAGTCATGCTGAGTTATGCTCCTTGGCAAAAACATCGGGTAGCTAGGGAAACGCAGTGGCTGTCCAGAAACTTCAAAATCGCAAATGCGATTTGCCAAATTGTTGTGGGTCTATGCGGCCTATGAGCTCTGAAAACAATTCTATTGTGCACCCTTCTGCGGTTGCTTTGTCTCGCCTCACCAGCTGCGCGCATTGCTCTGCCAATCCAGTGGAGTCCACATATTCCTCTGGCTGCCAAAATGGCTACATCATTGAAAGCCCTGCGGCTGAATGTTTTTGCTATTTATTTTGAGGGGCTTTCAAAGGCCCAGGATCCAGATCACTGTCTGGTGCACTCTGGGGGCGGGGGCTGAGGTATGCACAGCCAAATCAACAGATCCAAGAAATCCCGACATCATCCGACATCCATAGCTATCCATAGCTCTGACTGTGGGAATCGATCGATTCTCACCTCTGCCAACTCCAGGAGCTCCATCGCCACTTCGGGCCTCGCAGAATCAGAGGATGGCAAGATCCAAACATCGATGCTGTTCTGGGGAGCTTCACGCCAGATTTCCCTTTTCCCGTCTTTACTATATAGTGGTTTGATATGATTTCATTGGGAGGATTGTATTGATTTTGGGCTCTGCGGCGCTTCCATGAAACTGCGCAACCTGCCTTTCAGGGGCTTCTGCACTATGGAGTTTCACTTCTTCAAGCCCATGACAGAACCAACACATTGAAGCTCTTAGACGCAGCTCGATTGAATTCCGATTTCAAATAGTTTTGGAATAGTTTTGGAACGTTTTGCTGCTAGTTGTAGTTCGCAGAGATGGTGAATAATTTAATAGCCGCAGGCCTTGCTTAGAGTCTTAGAGACATCATCAAATCAACAATTTATGATTTCCTCATCTTCCTCAAAATGTTTGATATAGCGCCAAATGAGCAGAGACAGATCAGCAGTTTTTTCCGTTTTGAACCCTAAAGCAATCGCTTTGCAGAGCCAAGGCCGTCGTTGACGAACTATGACGAACTCTATCAAACTCACCGGAGTAAACTCTGCGGCTGACCCCAGGCTGACCTGCAAAAAATGTGATCTTCATGCAAATATCGGCCGTAGGCCTCCAGCGCCTGAGCGGCTTTGATCGCCAAAAATAAAGAGCAAACATAGCATGGCAAAGCTCTAAGTTCAGCACAAGAAAAAATACAAAAGGAAAAAGGAAGGAGAAACATGAAGAAACAATATGGCATCATTTAGAAATAATTATCTAGAGCATCTTGGCAATGTGGAATGACATCTACAAAACTTACAGGACAAGCATGCTCTTAACAAACTTGACTGGCTGCCGGAGTTTCCGTAGAGAACCCGTCCTGTTATCTTATGTCATCTTATGTCTATGTTCAATCAGATCTGACCTCTTGTCAACTTGCGCATATCTGACATGTGTGAGATGTACTAACATTGCATGAAAATACAACAGTCTGATAATAACGAGACCGGGAGTCGCCGGCAACCAAGAAAGCCAGCAACATCAGCGAAATTTGATTGTCACTGTGATTGCTGGGTGGTGTTCCATGACAGCAAGAAGAATAGAACTGACACCTCAAAAGAGTACTTGTGGATCTCCACTGTGAAGCGGCCATCCTCGCAGGGAGCCAAGATTCTTCGCAAAGAATACCAGCCAACAAACAATCAACCTGTATTTTACCAGGTCAACCGACAATGGGGATAAATACAACAAATCCGCTAAGCTCTCAGCTCTTTTTGAACCAACGCTACAGAGTAGATCGATGACATATATTACACATGGTTTTACTGCAGGAGTTTTTACACCCCCCTCGGGCGAGCAGGGACGACTGCGGAGAACGAATAACCCAGAAAAGCATACCCTTGCGGGTAGCCAAATTTCTTTATTTGGTTTTGATCATTTTATGCAGTCTTTCAAAGGTCCCTCTAAAAAGCTCAAGCCCGTAAAACCCAGCACAGCGTTGCAAGGAAGGCACATTACCATGCCACATCTTGCGCTATGCTACAAAAGAAAATCATCGTCTACCTGCGGTTCCAATAGATCCAACGGCCGCCGGCCTCGTCACGGTAATACCAAGCCCCACGCCAGAAACTCCATTCTCGGCGTGCACCATAGTGATCACGATTCCAACTCCAAGAGGCATCCGGGCGACCGGAGCTTGCAGCCTTCGATGTGACTCCTGCGCTTGCTGCTTTTGCAGTGGGCGGCGTCTCAGGCTCCAAGAATGGTCGTGCTCCTGCTTTGGATGTTGGTGGTTCAGGTGCAAGAAATGGTGCATTGTTGGGGTCAACTGGGGCATCAGCGTGCGAGGCGTCTGCGCGAGCAGAGCTTGAGGCGGCTGTGTCATCTGGTGTGGTGGCGGATGCATCAGCTTCGGCTTTGCGCTTTCGCTCAGTGGTGGGCGCGACCGTGGGGTCGGCCTTATGACCTCCAGGACCTCCAGCCTTTGCAGCGGCGCTCTGCTTCTCTTTGCGTTCAAGGTTGCCCCGAACCAATGGAAGGTTTTCCTCATACACCTTTTCGAGGAAATCAAGAGTGCCATCAAAAGGAACTTGGACAGTGCCCTTCCAGGTCAACAGGCCACGGAATGCGCCACGACGGCCGATGTAGCTGACATATTCATCCTCTGTAAAAATGTGGCGGCCGAACATGAAACCCCAGACCTTCTTCCATGTTTTGCGGAACTCAACTGGGAAACCATCAACACCACGAGGCTGAGACATGAAAATCAACTTAGATAAGCAGTTCTCATTTTGGGCATTGGCGGCGACGCCAGCCGAGATCTGAGCTTTGGTCCTTGGGGGATCGGGGAGGTTGCCGTATGCGAACATGTCATCAAAGATGCAGTCCTGCAGGTCCTTCCCCTCACCGTGGATGCGGTCGCAAAAAGTGACGTCGCTGGAGTATCTGTCTTCCACGTCCTCGTAGCCCAGCGCTTTTGCACGTCGATGCCTGTCGCGGCAGTCTTTGAGGACTGCTGATTCCACGGATGTGATTCCCCTGGGGCCCAGTTCCCGGCGAAGCAGATTGGCTTGCTCTTCCGTCAAGGCTGTCAGCAAGCTTCCGCTCATCTTCCCAAACATTCCGAACCCGGCGAGACTTTGCATTCGCCGTTCAAGGATACGGGTCCTCCTGTTGGGTTTGTCGGCCTCTTTTGTATCGCCACTTTCGTCCACTGGGAGTGGCTCATATCCACATGTGGTGCATGTCACTTGGCCACTGACGTACTCAACCTGGCAGAGGGGACAGGAGCCCATGAAAGGTTCGACGTACTTGGGTGCAATGTAAACACGGCGCGTCCTTGCGGGCGGCTGGTCAACTTGCATTGGGGCAGTGGCTGCATCATCATCAGTGGACTTGGCATCGGGTCGCCCCGTGCTGGTGTCATCCATTGGGTCGTCATTTGCATCATCTCGGGCAGTCAGGGTGACCGCTTTGGATTTCGGTGCTGAGGCTGATGCCGCGCCAGTCCATGAGCTGGGCTCGAGATTGCTCTCGGCGCGGGTCCAAAGCACCTGTCCATCTTCTGAGATGCTGACCAGAAACTGCGGTGGGATGCGTTCTGAGCACAAAATCCCATCCATTTCTGTGCGACTAAAGATGACACCAGCTTCTACTGCTTGCCGCATTGCGATTTTGACTTCGACTGGACATTTTGCTCTTAATCCAGATCGATATCCCTGCGTGCCAATACAGTGTTCTGCCATGTAGATATGAGCACGGCCACTGTTGACTGTTGCACCGCCGCCTGGGATCAGGCCGTTCTGTGCGATGCTCTTCCAGCTGCTTCTCATCGTGCGATGGAAGACAACCTCAGGAACCTCAGTCATGGCACACAGGGGCACGCCAGTGAAGGCGGCTTTTCGCTCGGGGGATACTTGGTTTGAGCAATACACCATGGTTGAATTGGCATAAAGACCCCCTGCGGTTTTCAAGGCAGCTTCGGAATGACCCTGAATTGCACGGATTTTTACAGGATAATACACCATGCCTAGGCCATTGTCGACAGGAAAATGGGAAATCTTTGCACACAAGAATTGGAACCTACTCTTGCCATGCTTGTCGATCTTCATTGCAGTGCCAAACAGGTTTGAGACGGTGATGAAAACGTCTGGGGGCACTTCCTTGCGGAAGGCTTTGGCAAAATCCTCCAAGTCAATCCAAAGGTCTTTGTCCATTGGCACCTTGGCACAGGATCCATGCCCCCTGCAAACTTTGTTGACACGAGTTGCAAAATCGGAAAATTTCTTGTCGACGCGAGTCTGGCCAGCAATGGTCTCAACGTCAGATGCCGATATCAGCTCCAGCTCATAAGCCGTACCTTCAAAGAGGATACCGGGCACATCGTCCCCGTCTGCATTGGTCACCATTGTATATTGGTATTCAGGCAAATGCTCTTCCATCCAATATGCTTTCACGTGGCCGGATGCTTGTCCCTCTAAGCGCGCAGTTGCCTGCGGCTGGTACTGGCTGGATGTGGCTCCCTTGTCATCTGCGGGCTCATCCAATGATGCTGGCGCTGCTTTCGGCCGCGACTTCAACATGACCTCAGCTGTTTGGACCAGGATTGTTGCTCTGCTGGGTGCAGTGGGCTCGCCGTCGCCGGCGGCCTTTGGAGGGTCATCTCTGGGAGGCTCAGCAAACGTGCCCGAAGGCATCGTCTTGGTGTCGATGTAGTCCTCAGTGTCTGGTTGTTGAGCTTCGACGTCCTCCTTGGTGAATGACCTGCCCGTCGGCGTGATGTGTCTTCGGGACTCTCCAAAAAGCAACTTGGTGATGTTTGCACATGTCTCCTGATAGGATCTTGGCAGCTCGTCCAGGACGGCGCTCATGTTCCTCCGCAAATCATCCCATGTTTCCTGGCCACACTGAGTAAGCTCCAAACCAATTCGGCCAACCCGCCATCCGGAATCAATTGCGAAAAGGGTAGCTGTCCAATAGGCAGCAAGACGCGTGCGATTTTCTTCAGAGTTGGCGAAATGCCACTGGTCTCTGAATTCCATTGCATCGGCGTACCCCTTTGCTTTCAGCCACGGATACTTCGGATTGGCAAGCCCTTGCAGGCTGCTGGTTAGAGCTTTAATTTAAATCTGGGCTCCAATGCATCAAAGAACTGGTCAAAGATAGGGTGGATGCCATAGTCAGCAGACCAAGGCGCGGTCGTGAGACCGGCCGACTGCAAATCCAACTCACGGGCCTTGTTGATGAACCAAGTCAAGTGGCGCTCACAATCATCCAGGATCGTGGGCCAGTGCCCGTTGGGACCGTCGTACGGCCAATTTGGATTTTGGGCAATCCCATCCTCTCCTACCAATTCATTTCCGAACCAGGACAAATGCAGGTTGATGCGTGCATTAGGATAGCGCTCGCGGGCGTCCGCGGCCAATTCGATCCCACGCTTGACCAGCTTCTGCAGAGTTTTGCCCCAAAGCATCTCATGGATGAACTCAGTCACATACTTAGGTTTGCGCTGCCGGTAATGCTCGGACAGGTCAAACTTCTTAAGTGTTTTCCTACGCCCTGTGATCATGCACATGACGAGTCAGAGACTAAGATCCAGATTACATCATTGACGGGCATCTCTGGCAACATGATCTTTTCAATGTGGGACTCCTTTGGCAAAAAGCAGAAGCTAAGGTATTCTGCAAGCGGATCATCTCGACCGTAGAACCTCAAGGCCGAGGCCGGCGTCCATTCGGTCATCAATCCATCCACGAGGTCCTGAGCAGCCTGATTCTCACCTTCATTACGCATGGCCAATGCATACAAAATGCGATTGTGAAGGAGCAACCATGCTTCTTTGTTAGCCTCACGTGTGGCTTCGAGCGCAGCCTCGCGGCTGGCCGGGTGTGCTGTGGCATATCGCGAGTCAGCCATTTTAGCAGGACAGGCACGAATGACAGCGGGTGAAATCCTTTTGGATGTTTGGCCCACCACAGCTACCCGGAAACACTCATGGAGCATGTCAGTCAACTTGAAGGTATAGTTCTCAGCAAGTTTAAGAGCTTTGCCCCTACTTTGATCATGCTCATGTTTGCCATCACATTTGAATGAGTCTAACACAGCGAGTTCTTTGAAATTTCCTGCAATAGTCCAACTTTTCTTCATTGGTTGACCGTTGTTTCCAAGAACACCCAACATACAACCATCAAAGTGATGAGTAGTCATGGATCGTTCTTTGAGGAATTTTCTAACCATCGGCCATCTCCAATATTTGCAATTCTTGGACAGTTCAAATGCTATCAAGGTTCGTTCATCATAAACTTCATCCACAAGTTTGACAAAAGATTTGAACAACTTGGTAAACTGTTTTTGTTGCTCTTTGATTCTTTCTTGACCCTCGACAGTAAGGCCATTCACGTTCCCCCATGGGCTACCTCCAACACAAGGCAACGATGCATAAAGTATCAAAGTGCCGTCATTGAAATCATTTCTGAAATCTTGGACTTGGGAGGCTAGCCGTTGCCGACAGCTGTTAGTGGTACCATCTTCTTTTTCGGTAACCCTAATGCAGTGGCAATCTTCATTGGATTTTCTTGGGGTACTAAGCTTAGAATCATCAGAGCAGCAAAATTCGATCAACATTCTGGGCTTAAAAGACTTTTGGGAGCCCCCC